ACTATATTCCACCATTAATTAGCCATTTTAATATGGAGGTTATGAGTATTTTTCATTTACTAGCCCATTAAATTTGGGAGTTATATATCACATAGGTTAAGGTTGTAAGGGCTATATAAAGTCTTATTTTCTTTGATTAGACATCAGATTTTGGAATTAAGAATAGAATTTCTATTTTAGCTTTGTTGAGACCTAAACATTCTTTGCAAATTCTTGTGTTTAGAACTTGCATGTAGAGTCATTCATTCAAGTGGTATTGATCAAACCTCTTGTGGATTGATTCGAATCACGAGTTTAGAAACGAGTTTTCTTTACTCTTGATCTTGATCATCAAGGTAATCCGTTCCATACTTTCCCTTAGGTTGATTTTCCATATCACTTCTTCTCACTTTCATTTTATCACTGTTTCTTTTAGCTGGAGTTAAGCAATTAATTTATGTGCGGAGATATCTTATCTCCCCTTTTCTTTTATTTCTTTTGATTATGAAATTTCGTTCCTTATACAACAATTGTATAGCATCACAATAATTTTCATTTATGGATTTATGCATTGATTTGGAAGTTCAGCTAATTGGCATTTGATTTCCACTAACATATGTTATACTTTCAGGTTATTTTCATTGGTGGTCGGACACAACCTGGGACAACAAAACCTGATGAAGGAGAGCGCCATCCATACTCTATAATTGAATGTGAACCTAAACGTGAAGCCATTCTACCATCTGTTATCTACATTCAGAAAATTCTGAGGCGAAGGCCATTTCTCATTAAGTATCTTGAAAATGTTATGCGAAGGTTCCTGCAGTCGCTTGAGTTTTTTGAGGAAAATGAGAGGAAAAAACTTGCAATTTTCACAGCCCTTGCCTTCTCACAGAAGCTCTCAGGCCTTCCTCCGGAGACTGTTTTTCAACCATTGCTTACGGATAATCTTGTGGCCAAAGGGCTAGTTCTTTCATTTATAACTGACTTTTTCAAGGAGTATCTTATGGATAATAGCCTTGATGATTTGATTTCCATCCTGAAAAGGGGCCGAGTGGAAGACAATCTTCTGGAGTTCCTTCCCTCTGCTAAGCGATCTGCTGAGGGCTTTGCTGAGCATTTCACGTTAGTAAAATATTCAATTTACGTAGTTGTTAGATCGTATATTTACTGTCCTTATTGTATTGCATAATTATTTTCATACCAATATTTTACATATTATGTGATAGTGGTAATCTAAGTTATAAAATATAATGATTCTGATTGCTCTTAAATATGAGAATCATTATTCAATTTTGATGCTTGCATATTTAATCAATGACCTTTATTCTTCAGGAAGGAAGGTCTAGTACCCTTGGTAGAATACAATGCAAAGAAAATGTTTGATGTGAAGCTAAGTGAAATGAAATCTTCTTTAACAACCGAAATAGCCGAGGAAACTGACATTGCTGAAGTCATAGAAACTGTGAAGCACCGAATAAGAGATGCCAATTTACCTGATATTGAAGTGGTTCGAATTTTGTGGGATGTCATAATGGATGCTGTTCAGTGGTCTGGAAAGAACCAACAACAGAATGCTAATTCAGCTCTTCGCCAGGTAACCTTAATCACACACTAGCATTATGTTCACTTGACTGAAATAGGTCTGCTGTTTGTTTCCCCCTTTTGTGTGTATGTGGAGAAGAAACCTTTTTTTTTTTTTTTGGTTTTTTTTTTTTTGCTATTTATAAGTTACAAAGAAACCTTTTGTTTAAAAAAGTAAATAAAAAAGGGAGTAAGATAAAGACAGATAGCCTGAGACTCCCCTTCACCAAAGGATATAACAATATTTCTCTCCAGTCTGAAGGCAGAGATGACTAGTTACCAAAATCTTTAGCTAAAAAGTGCTTTATTTAACTAATTGGATGGATTTTTTGATGAATTCCCGTTGGTCTTTGGGTGGCTATCCTTATTTCCGCTCATTGCTCAATGTAGCCAAAAAAATTCTTTCTAAACAAAGTCGTCTGCATCTCTAGGATCCTTTCTACAATTCTCCGAAGCTTTTTGTAACCAAATACCTCATGAAATAGCACACAAAATATTATTCTAGAGAGTCTTCAAATTCCCATGGTATTGTATGTTCCAAATAGTTTGAACCATGAAGCCTGTAAGGTACTGCAGAACGCATAATCTCACGTAAATGTCCTGAAAGGTAATAACCCAAGAGTGCATGATTTTGACCCTTGGATCTTCTTTCTTTATCAAATCTGAGGGTTAAAACTGTTCAATGTAAAAGGAATCAACATTCTTGAAACTCTACTAACTAAATCTTGAAGAATTGTTCTGCTTATGTATTGTTGATATAACCTAGCGAAAGCTACTATTCTCAAGTTGATGAGCCTAAACCACAATCATTGCAGGAGAATAATTATTTGTAACTTGAGGTTCTCATGTTTTTCTGTCGTTTGGACAGACTTAGATTTCTTTTGAGCCTTGCTGTCCATTCTCCCTCTCACTCTCTTTCTCTCTCTCTGTGATAGGAAAGGAAGAAGTATGGAATTAATCACAAAATGGAACCAAGGATGAGAGGGTCCCTTCCCAAAGAAAAACTTGTGAAGCACTGCTTTGTATCTAGTTATAAAAAAACTTTCTTGTGTCTAAGACGGCACCAAAAGGAAGAAGTAAGCTTTATATAATTACAAAAACTATGGACTAGCCTTAATCCTTCAAGACTGGAAGGCAGTGCTTCAAGATTGCTGCCCATTGTCGTGATGCAAAAAATTGTTATGCCTTTGTAATTTATCCAAGTTAGTCTGAAGGTGATATATCCTCCTGTTTGAACTTCCTTACCTATCTTTCCAAGTCTATTTCTTCTCTCCTATTCAGGGATGAGTTTCTGAATCATCTTTAGGAAAACTAATGGAGAGTTGTTCTCCACACCCCTCTGCGATGGAAGAGGGAGACCCTAGGCATCTCTATGTATCTCGATGAAATCAACTACCTACGTTTGATGAGGAATTGATGTCTAGAAAACGAATTTTCTACTGGCACGTAGGACTTCATTTATTTCATTTGTCCTCTTGTTCTCCGCACTTGAGAAAAGCTTTTTAAGTTTTGACATTGTTTTTGGGCTGGGCACACTCTGCTGTTGTTTTTCTGGAGGGTGGTTGTTAGTGAGCTTAGATAGAACAGGAGCTTTTTCAGGGGACTGAGGGTGAGAGTTACTAGAGGGTTTTAGTTTGTGAGCTTAGATAGAACGGGAGCTTTTTCGGGGATCTCTCTGTTGGAACTTTTGTTGAACATTTAGGCCTTGTTTGGTTACAATTTTGTTTCTCGTTTCTAAAGAAAAACAAAATTGCGTCAGGGAACTGTTTTTTGGGTTCTGGTTCTTTATTTTTATTTAAAAAAAAAGAACACAAACACGTTTAATAATCATTTCTTGTTTCCCATTCTCTATAATTTTGATTTTACACAGGTGAAAACATGGGCAGAATTGTTGAATACCTTCTGTAGCACAGGGAAACTTGAGCTGGAACTCATCTACAAAGTTCAGATGCAATGTTATGAGGATGCTAAGCTGATGAAGCTTTTCCCGGAGATAGTAAGATCTCTGTATGACCAGGATGTACTGGCTGAGGACACCATACTCTACTGGTTCCGTAAAGGAACAAACCCTAAGGGCAGGTAGGCCCCTATCATGTTACGTAAATTTCTGTTCTAACTTCCAAATCCGTTGTGTTTGTGCTTATTATTGAATCTTGCAATTGTAAATGCAACATTAACAGGCAGAGCTTTGTGAAGGCATTGGAACCTTTTGTGAATTGGCTGGAAGAGGCAGAAGAGGAGGAGGAATAATAGGTGGTACAATCCCTGAAAGTCGAGTAAAACCACTATTTTCTGAGCTCCAACTCTTGTATTTTCTTGTCTTAAGCTTGGTGTGTTCATGTAACATTAATGATATGGCTGATTTACTACCAATAATCTCAATTTAACGTTCATACTCTGGCTGCTGTTGGAGGTAATGTTTCTTTTACTCTTGGTAATACTGAAAAGACTTTTAGCTTATTGATTCTCTACTCTCAGTTTTCTTTTATATATTGTAGTCTGTTGTAACTAGCTGTGTTTAATTTGTATGTACTGTTCTGGGTGAGGGAGGAAGGGACTTTAGTTACCGAGTTGGAGACTTAGAGATCCTACTTATATCTGAATTTGTTTAAATTGTATTTACTTTTGTTTTGAAGCTTGATATAAAATATGAAAACGTTTTTATAAAATATAATTTGTGTTAGTAGTAATAAGACTGAACCATGTTTTTGGACGAGGGAATGTTTGATGAAATTTATATTTACCATATATTTAAGTGGAATTTTTGGATCCCATACGACCCACACTGCAGAAGCGACCCATAACCCGGCCTGCAACCAATCCAACCCTATTGGCTGAGGCCCAAAACCCAGTCCGCCCCAGTAGCCTAAACCTAGTCTAGCCCTGTAGCCCATGGTTCAGCTGAACCAACCCGAGACTAGACCCACGGTCCAACGGAACTGGCCTACAACCTAAGTACCTGTGCCCCAGCCCAGTAAGCCGAGGCTCAAAGAGCAGTCCGGCCTAGTAGCCTTCTGCAGCCGACGACCTGAACTGCAACCCAAACCAGACTGCAGCCCTCTCCTCGACCCTTTCGGACCCGTTTTCAGCCCCGGTTAAGGTAATTGAGGCTGTTTTAGAGCCGCATCTCACATTTATTAAATTATTATTAATTTAATTATGAAATACTAACGGAAGGTGACAAATGGTGTGATAAACAAACCCCCGACAACTTTTGAAGCAACTCTCAAGGAACGGGAGCTTACATTTAGCTATTTAGGGAGTACTTTGGCCAAGCCCGACCAAGAAATATGATGATTGCCATACTGCATCATGTCATTAGATCGACCAAGAAATCAACCCTTAGAGCATTAAAAACCGATATTAATATAAATATCCACTAGCATGTGTTACCTAGAGTAACAAAGAGATGAGACTAGAAGGTTGTGTCAGCAGAGACGTTATGATGGGGTTTAGAGGGACCTCATGCATATTTTATGTTCAAAAGCATAGAGCTACTTCCCATAGAGATGATGAGTGCAGACGCGCATAATATGATAATGAGTACGGACGAGCATAATATGATGATGAGGGTGTTCATGAGGTGCATGACACCAGGGGTTCCACTGACCTTCGAATGTCGCTATAGATTAGCTTGACTAGAAGGTCCAAGGAGTGTGCGAGTGCCCTAGGGATTCACACTCACACGTGTGGATCGTGTGTAAGGAAGTATTACACAACCAATTTGTCCGATAGTGGAAGTCACCCCTAAATGAGCTAGAGATAAGTCCCTAAATCATGATTGCATGTGATTGCATTAGCATGACTCCTATAATAGAGTCACTTATGGAGTATTTCTTTAAAATACTCAGGCCGTATACCATATTATTTTTCAGGTAAAAAGGCAAATCGCCTATATGGTTAACAACTACGAATGAAATTAGAAAAGGGGAAGGATAACTTCATTGAGTATTCGCAGAGATTAAATCTAGTCATAATGGAAGCTGTGAAGAATGAAATTATAAAATGGCTTGATGTAGGTGTAATATATCAGCGGTTTCAATCTTTAGTGTATCTCCAACAAATCGGAATGACTTTGCCATTACAAATACTAGTTCCAACATGCATTACCTTAACGTTTTTGACTTATATTTACCGTTTAATTTATTCCGTCGACCTATAGAAAGATCATATTTAAGTAATAATATAAATGATTTATAAAATATCGATAGGGTTGAATGTTTTATTCTGATAACATTGTTGATATGAACTATTTTGTAATTGTTACAAATTATTTGATCAAAGTCTTTCCCGTGAAAACATGAGTAGAGGTATCTATTAGAATGAGTTTGGGTATGACGGAGTAAAAGTAATTTTTTTTTCATAAATTTGTTACTTGAGAAGATTACTCTTTTACAACATGATCAAGTGCAATTCGATCTTAATTCTGAGTGAGTTATGAACTCCTACTCATGTGGGTTCATTCTTTGATTGGTATGGTGAGAACAACTTTTATAACCAATTCAATATGTCTCCCATTTTAGAAACTAACGAAACAGAGAGTTGAGAACATATCTTATGAGATGTAATTCACTTATTTCCATATAAAGTAAGTAGATGAGTAGTTTTCGAACCGCTGATATGAGAACTTGAACAAAGGTCCACACCCTCTTATTATGGTTGGATCATAAACAATTGTTTATTCAAGAATTTATGGTACTCAGTAATTAAAATATAGTTACAAAAGTAAAACAAAATTTTGACCTAACTATAATTACAAACGGCTCTTAAAAGATCTTGTAATAATTTTCATCTATGACACAACTTGTCCTGCAACATATAGGAGTGCAACTCTAGATTTTTCATGAAATGACGTATAGTTAGTGAATGATAATTGATTAATTAAAGTAATTGAGCGTATAATATGCAGGTTCATAAGATCATACTTAAGATTTTTTCTTTAATTTTAAGCTAAGATGTCATAAAAATTTCATCATGAAAAGTCGGTCATAGAAAGTTTTGTACCCATAAATTCTCGACATTTCATTAATCGATTTAGGAAAAGTCTCGAAATATATTCGACTATTCATACAAAAATCACATTCACAATAAGGATTTGATGAATAAGTTTATGAATTTTCTTTTAGATCAATTTTACATACCTTTTTAATATAAATTATTCTTATTGAACTATGTTTTAAATTAAATGATTGTTGCATAAATTCTGTTATTTAGATTGAAATTCCACCCTAGGTTATATATAATTACACATCTTAATTAATTAATTTTTTTTTTTATAAATTGTTATATTTAGAAAATTTAATTATCACGATCAATATATTATTTCTTTTTCCATATTTTGAATATAATTTGTATATTTCAAAAAAATTGATTGTAATCTTCTTAATTAGTTAATATTTCCACACATTTGATTTTCCTAATGAATTTATATTTTTCATGTTCCGCTTAAATTTAAATTTAATTTATTTATAATGGAATTAGACTATGAAATAATATAATGGTTTGAAATTAATAAAAAAAAAATTAAAATATTTAAAATCTGGTCCAAAATCTCACATTTCGAGACATTATTTAACCAACCACGACCCTCCCTTAAAATATTTAAAATCTAGATTTTAGGTTGTCGTATTGCTCTCGAGCCTCTGTCACAGGTGAACCACACTTCTACAACGCCTACTACCCAATACGTGCAGTCCAGCTCGGAATGTACAACGCCCACTGCCCAATACATGCAGAGCTCGGAACGTATCAACCTAGTGTGCCTCGACCCGATCAATACAACCCATGCTTAACTTGAATAATGACACGCCTCATTCCCGCGTCGGCTCGAATTGGCGGCTTGATGACTCGGATTCTCGACTTAGACAGTATAAAAATTATATACCATTTCCCAAGTTTTCGACAAAACAATTTTTATTTTATTTCCCAAGTTCACAATTTTTATCTTAAAGCATTTGAGATCAATAAGACTGCTATCTATCCTACCATGTAAGCTTATGGTTGAAATTAACTAATTGGTTGATGTATGATGGTAGTCTTATTGTTGAAGTTAACTAATTGATTGATGTATGATGGTGCATGTATCATATTACTTATGTGATTGGTGAATCGTGGTTAAAAACTAATATACTTATTATAAACGATAATTAATTTTTAATATTCTTATTATAAACCTAATTAATTTAATATATAAAACTGTTAAATAGATTCTAAGACAAAATAAACAAAGAAAAAGTAATAAATAAATAATCAGTTGCACATAATCAATCCTCTCCTAACAGTTAAGTAATCTTAGTAAATTTTCCGACATAATTCAACCTATCAAATTATTCAATTTAGTTTTAAACAATTATGTCATATATGTGGTAGGAACTTTATTACAGTAGATAAAAAATACAATTATTGAAAACATGTCCAACATCATGGCATGTTGTAAACCGAATTTTGAAAGCTAAAATAAAAATGATAGTAAGAATGATTTGAAAGATTTGTCGGCGTTAAAAGATTATTCAATCAGTTGACGGAGTGGTCTCAGGTGGCGCTGGTTTAGCACAGATGGGAGGGTTTTGCTTTCCAGAAATGGTCGGTTTCACATTTGCACACTCGGACACAATTGGCCCTTCTTTACCACTATAAGTGAGGTCAATATCAGCAATTTCCACATCCTCGCATGGATGACTTTTACTGCAAACAAGTTTGACTGCAACTGGAGTAGAAGATGTGCCCCTAATGTTCTTGAAACTAACTTTGCTAATCTTAATTGTTGATGGAACCTAGATGTTCAAAATAAAGATTAATTAATACTTGTGTTCAAAAGATAATAAGTTGGAAACCAACGAGGTTCGATTTTAATACATACCTTTCGATTGCATTGATTCCATGGACAATATTCTTGATCTATGATGATGGGGTTAGCAACATTATCCATTTCAATATCTTCAAAATGCATGTCAGAGGCTGGGTATGAGACGGCAGAATCTGGCCATGATTTGATCCTGACACCATTTGTAGTACCGATTAATTTGCATTTCTTCACTGTAACTCCTACCACTTCTTTTTCAGTTTTATACTTGCCCAAGCTGCCTATGCTAATGCCATGTCCCGGTCCGCAAGTAACATCACTAATGGTTATTTTTCTGTTAGTGTATCCCACCGATATACAATCATCTCCCGTTGCGATTACGGTGTTGAGAATGTAAACGTCTTCTGAATCACCCAAGTGAATTCCATCGGTGTTGGGACTATGCTCTGGTGCAGTAATTTTCAAGTGATCGAAGGTAAGATTCTTGCCGGCCAAAACATTGATATGAAAATTCTTGCTATCCAATGAAGTTATGTCCTTCACTATCGAATTTGTGATGAAATTGAACTTCAAATTCTGCTCATTCCAAACAAACAAAGAAAAAACACTCGCTTGTTAAAGCATATAATGCTAACCCAAATTATGAGTTCTTTTTATAATTAAAGTAGTACGAGCATTTACCATGGGAAGCTTTTTGCATTCTTTCTTCAGGTGGCAATCATTCTTTTCCCAACCAGCTTTTCCTTGGCCATCGAAAACTCCAGTACCAGACAATGTCAAATGATCGACGTATTCCATAACAAGCAACCCATCTCCTTCCGTGTCGGTAGGAGAAGCTTGTAATGTTCCTTCAACTAGAAGCTCGATAGGACTTTTACATGGACCTTTGAGCCTGGATTCTCCTAATTGATAAGTTCCTTTTGGAACCAATACTTTACTTGGAGTAGCCGACGCACATGCTTCCTTCCATGCATCTGCTAAAGCCTGTGAATTCAACCATTTCGTTTGAGAAAAATATTTTGTACAAAATGAAATTTTNTTAAACAAATGTACCCAATGAAATTTTTGGTTCATCAACTTAAACAAATGTACCCAATGAAATTTTTGGTTCATCAACTTAAACAAATGTACCCAATGAAATTTTTGGTTCATCAACTTAAACAAATGTACCCAATGAAATTTTTGGTTCATCAACTTAAACAAATGTACCCAATGAAATTTTTGGTTCATCAACTTAAACAAATGTACCCAATGAAATTTTTGGTTCATCAACTTAAACAAATGTACCCAATGAAATTTTTGGTTCATCAACTTAAACAAATGTACCCAATGAAATTTTTGGTTCATCAACTTAAACAAATGTACCCAATGAAATTTTTGGTTCATCAACTTAAACAAATGTACCCAATGAAATTTTTGGTTCATCAACTTAAACAAATGTACCCAATGAAATTTTTGGTTCATCAACTTAAACAAATGTACCCAATGAACTTTTTGGTTCATCAACTTAAACAAATGTACCCAATGAAATTTTTGGTTCATCAGCTTAAACAAATGTACCCAATGAACTTTTTGGTTCATCAACTTAAACAAATGTACCCAATGAAATTTTTGGTTCATCAACTTAAACAAATGTACACGTACTTGAGTAACATCAGCATTAGGTTTGGCACCAAATGTCGTAATATCAAAAACACCGCTAGTAGCATCAACGGTAGCATTAGACACCAACAATAGCAACAGTGGTATTAATGCCATAAACTTTGATATCAATCCCATCTTTTCTAGTTCTCTGGTCTCTTGTACTTTGCCTTATTTTCTTTTGGTTCAAATTCCCCAATTTCTCAGAATTAAGAATTGATTTGAATGCATTCACCAACTCAAACTCCCTTTATATACAAACACAAAAATAACCAATTCCTACTAGCTAAATTTGTTAAAGAATAAGTATGTGGTTTAAGGCTGACCCTATAATTAGTTTTAGTTTTACCTTAAACGATGGAGGATTATGTTGACCTTTCCATCAAAATAATGTTTTAAAATGTTAAATAAGGTTTCGTGCTTGATCAAAGAATTAAATTTTTTGTTTTTGGATTTTGAAATTTAAGTTTACCAGCTTTATTTATAGAGTTTTTTTTTTGTTTATTAAAGAAGTATTTTTAAAATCAAGCAAAGTTTGAAACTTGATTATGAAGTATGAAATATAAAAGAGGGTTGGTAAAGAAATTGCGAGAAAATGATTATAATTTTTTAAAATTAACGTCAAAAAGAGTGCATAATAACTTTCAATGAATGACCTTGCCGATGTTCCTTGTAGAGACTAATCATGAATTATTAGAGTAGGCCATTCTTTTGTAATTAAAAACCATGGATTATTTATATAGGTTTAAATATAATTTTGTGGATGAAGCTTTTAAAAAATTCTATGAGATACAATTCTATACATTTCAATGTCACAAATGATAATTGATAGTATCATTGAATGAATGTGATTCTAGAGCTGATTCTAAAAAATAGATTACAAATTCTGAAAAATATATGGCAAGTGCGTCCAATAGAACGGATCAATCACGCGACAAGACATGTGAAGAATTGATAGAAAATTGGATCAATCACGTGACATTGATAAATTCATGAGGTCCCCATAGCTTAAAATTATAGCATAAAATAAGAATCATTTTGTTTTTCCTTTTATTCAGGTCATAGGACATATATGAATCATGTATGAATAGTACTCATCATCATTTTGTTTTTCCTTTTATTCAGGTCATAGGACATATATGAATCATGTATGAATAGTACTCATCATGACTTACATCACACACATTCATATCATGGCTTCACATGCCATTACATATCATGACGTAACATGGCATCACACACATTCGTAACAGGGCATCCTAGGTCATCACACAACATACGTAAAATAGCATAACATTCCTAATTATGTGCACGTAGGGGCCACAGGGCATGTATCATCATACAATCCTTCCAACAACCAAACATAGAGTCAAGTAAAGCATTGATTCCCTAACTATTTTATAGTTGATGTTAGGACATATTACGAAACCTAGTTTAGCTAAACATATTGAATACTCCTAGTTTTAGCTAAAAAAAGATTTACTTTGAGCAAATGGGAGTCTTCCTGACCTAAAATGCCATCAATAAGGTCAAAAACAACTTCAGAAGGGTCGAAAATGTAGGAAAGAGTAATAAAACTGGTGATATGGAAAAAAAACTACAAGGGAAGTAAGATTCGGATTACCTTGTTGATCAAATATCTCAAGGCATGAACATTGTATGAGATTCGAATTACTCCACAAGCAAGATCGATCATGTCTAGCTTGAATGATTCTTGTTTATCAAATATCTCAACGCAAGAACACTTGTTTCAGATTCGAATCACTCAACAAGCAACATTGATCATGTCGAGTTTGAATGATTCTACATGCAACCTAAACTACGTGGAATTGCAAAGAAACACAACCATTGGCTAAAGAAAACACAAATACTTCTTTTACTATATTTTCAAGTCTACCTACAAATACAACAGTACATCGTTTTTAATAGCATCAAAATAAAACTATTAAAGGCATTCCAAGAGTTGTAACATTCATACTTAATGGCTATCATTAACCATTATGTAATTGTAACCTAAAGTAAATAAAAAGTCTTAAAATACATTAATGAAATGCAATAACTCTGGATTACTCTAAAATGTAATCCACCCAAAATTTATAACATGAAACTTCATTCTTCTTCAATGTGCCATGGTTGAAATTATCAAATAATTGAAATATCTTTTGATAATTTCAACCATATTTTCTTAGTATCTTCATGGAAGCATATTGTATGATTGATGTCTCTTGGTTCATATCAACTGAGGTTTCAATTTTAAACACTTTTTTTTTACTGTTTTATACACTCATTTCTTCGACATTCTATTCTAAATAATCAAGGTTGATCATTCCCCTAGAGAATTTCGAAAAACTTAATTCGAGATGTTTGAAGCACGTGCTAAAAACACTGAGGATGTTTTTCGATATTTTCTTGGTGAATGATCAACCTTGAGGATTTAGCATATAATGTCGAAAATTAGGGTTTCAATTTTAAGCACTTTTTTACTGTTTTATACACTCTTTTTTCTTCGATATTCCATTCTAAATCATCAAGTTTGGTCATTCTCGAGGAAAATTACGAAAAACATTGACCGTTACTCATTTAATAGCCAAAAAAAGAAAAGAAAAAAGAAATAAAAGAAATAATAAATAAATAAATAAAATCATAAATATTGAAATAAGTAAAGAAATAAAAATAATTATAGAAAAAATAGTTAAAAAATAATAATAATATTAAATAAATAAACAAAGAAGAAGAAACATCATTTTCCAACTCCTCTCCACTAACCTTTCATCCCTTCCCACAATTATCCCTACTCAACTCATCCTTACGACTAGAAAGTAACTGCACACAACAAAAAAAACAGAAAAACAACCATTTAAGATTTACTTAGGAAAAAAATGAAAATGGTCTTTACCCACTCGTTGAGATTCACCCTGACTTTTAGGTGAGGATAGATACGATGAATAAGGTATATATTAAATCTTCATTTTCTTTTATCCTATTTCTTTTTTAGAAATCACAGCCAATTATAAATTTTTAAAATGATTTGGCTTTTATAGTTAGAAACTAAATGTCAATTATTTATACGAATTCTAGTAAATAGCCAGATTAGTAATATTAGATTAAATTTATATTAGTAGCCAAAATGAATGGATTAAAAATAGAATGACCAAGAAAATTTGTGAACAAGAAATACTTTGATGAGGAAAGATTTGGAAACAAGGATAAACTAGAAATTTGGAATACATGAGAACAAAATTAGAAGAAGAAAAAAAAAAGGGGAGATTCAGGAATTAAAAACCACAAACTAAATATAGAGGAAAAACTAAATACAAAGAGTAAAGGCAGAATAACTTTGAAATAACTCTATCTACTTTTTTATTATTTTTTTATTTTTTATACAACCGTCACCATGGATTTTTTTTTTTTAATAAAAATATAATTATGAAACTTCTAACAATGGACCAATGTAAATTAGAGAAATAATTTTATAGAGTTCAAACATGAAACTGATGTCATGGGCTCACATAAGTTTACTTGGATTTCAAAGGACAGAATCGAACTTTCATTAAGGATACATTCGTGACAACAACTTAAGCTAACCAGGTAAGTGACCTTACTATCGGCATGGTTATATTTGATGTTGACACGTGCCTGTGGTTCTGCACGTGTCATATATACTGATATGTGTGAATTATCTGTGAATCGGTATGCTTATATTATGTTTATGTTATGTTATAATATATGGATTGTATGATAATAATTACGGTACGATGTGTTCAAGGATATGTTTGAGATATGATACGAGAAAGATGCACAAAACGAAATGTAACGATAAGAGTAAGATATGTTCATGAAACGTTAAGGTTAGGTTACATACCAGAGTGCTATGGATAGGGGAGATTGATGAAAGAATATGGTTAGGATATTGGTAGAAAAGGATAGGTTTGTGATAGATTGATAGAACGATAGCGTTAGGATACGTTCCTGTGATGATATGACTAAGGTACATTCACGTAACGATATGACGCTGATAGGTATAAGAACGTTAAGGCAATAATAAGTTAGGGAACGATATGACCACGAAGTGTTTACGATATGACATGTTTATGATACGATATATTGTGATGTGATATGTTATGTTTAGATTGTTTTCTGTGTCCATTGAGGTAATTGTTGTATGAATTGCATGTGTTGAAATGACATGTTAAAATCATGGAGCGTTATGTTATGTTTTCTAAATTGTATGTATACAGAATGTTATGAATGACATGATATCACGATAAATGAAATGAAATGTAACCCGTTAGGATTATGTATGATACGTGGACTGAAAAATGAGAAATTACGTGTTAAGCATGAAAGATGATAGCGGGTTATATTCATTAGTGATAAAAGTAGAAATATTGGGGGACCTCATGCATTATGTGTGCTCATGAATTTGGGGGAATACCCCTATTCCATCACGAGGGTACGGACGTTTACATCCAATGGCAGAGGTATGTTCATTAAGTTTTGCATAGCGTTGCCATGACGATTACTAATTATAATGGGTGTCCGGCCTAAGGAGCTCCCAGAGTATTCTCGCCCGACAAGGAAACTGGTCCAGCAATGTGCGAACTGACTGGTGAGCCCATACTCGCACGTATGGGTTTTGTGTAGAGTATATGGTACACGTCCAAATTATCCGTTAGGACAGTACCGTAGGAAAATAGATTGAAAGTATAGGTCCCGTTATTGCATGCGCATGTTCTTGCATTTAACCCCTTAATAGTGGGGTCACTCACGGAGTAAAGGCAAAGCATTCCTGTACGGCTGACGACGGCATCGCACCTCGAAACCATGGCCCATGCATAGGATAGCGGTATTTATTTTCTTAGACTTAGGCTAGAATAGGATGTTTTTAACTTAAACGCTTATTTATTTTGTTTAGTCTTTTGTGGTGTCGTTTTAAAGATGTTTTCGAAACTCGTAAGTCCATGGCTGTGTTTTAAGATAAACGTTATGTTTTATGGAATTTAAACGAAGTCTTCCACATTCAATTTGTATGGTACATATACAGTAGCGACCTTAAATTAAGTAGAAAATTTCGGATCGTTACACTTGAAACGTTCCGAATTAGGGTTTCCAAATTACGGTTTCAATTTTAAGCACTCTTTTTTTTTTAGTGTTTTATACACTCCTTTTGTTCGACATTCTATTCTAAATCATCAAATTTGATCATTCTGCAGAAAAATTTCGAAAAACATCGACCCATACTCAGTTTTTTTTTGCATGTGCTTGAAACTGCATGTGCTTGAAACGTCTCGGATTGGGGTTTCCAAATTAGGGTTTGGATTTTAAGCACTTTTTTCCTGTTTTATACACTCGTTTTCTTCGACCTTCTATTGTATCATCAAGCTTGATTATTCCTAAGGAAAATTTCGAAAAACATCGATCGTTACTCAGTTTTTTTAGCACGTGTTTTCAACATTCAAGATTATGGTTTCAAAATTTGGGTTTCGATTATAGGCACTTTTTTAATGTTTTATACACTCCTTTTCTTTGACATTCTATTCTTGATCATTCCTCAGGAGAATTTCGAAAAACATCGACCATTACTCAGTTCTTTTAGCAAGTGCTTTTAACGTCCCGAATTAAGGTTTCAAAATTAGTTTTTTTTACTGTTTTATACTCTTCTTTTCTTCGACATTCTATTAAAAATCATCGAGCTTTTTCATTCATTCTACCTTTTTTTTTTTTTATCTCCAATACCGATTGAAGTATATAAAATGAACTTGATTTCATTACAACAAGCATAGAAGACAACTAGAGCAATAATTATGAACATCAGTTCCATCCCCGATAAATTACATGAATAAGCCAAAATTATCTAACACCGTAACAAAAATTGACACATCGATACATAATTCTTTTACATGAATAAGCCAAAATTATCTAACACCGTAACAAAAATTGACACATCCAAGGGTCTCTCGTTAAATCGTTTTGAGCATTTTCAGAAAGGCAATGATCAATGGAGGGAGAATCAGAACCCAAAGTACTTCTCCCTTTTTAATTTTGATATATTTACAAATAACCCCTCCCCTTAGTCTTGTTTCAGAATCTTTGAACTCTTTCTAGAATTGCGGACGGTGAACCGTAGTTTTTTAAGTTAATTCCAATTATTGTTTATTTTGAATCAAATTATAAATGGAGTATTCTTCCCTAACGTTTTATTTTTATAAATTTTATATTTTATATAATAGATATTTGAAATTTTAATGGTGTATTCCACACTGTGATGTTTTTAAAATTATTTATAAGATAAAAATTTTAATTANGAATCACTCAACAAGCAACATTGATCATGTCGAGTTTGAATGATTCTACATGCAACCTAAACTACGTGGAATTGCAAAGAAACACAGCCATTGGCTAAAGAAAACACAAATGCTTCTTTTACTATATTTTCAAGTCTACCTACAAATACAACAGTACATCGTCTTTAATAGCATCAAAATAAAACTATTAAAGGCATTCCAAGAGTTGTAACATTCATACTTAATGGCTATCACTAACCATTATGTAATTGTAACCTAAAGTAAATAAAAAGTCTTAAAATACATTAATGAAATGCAATAACTCTGGATTACTCTA